TAATAACTCTTGGCTTCTTGTTAACAAAAAGCAGAAGGCTGGTCCGGTGGTTAGGGTGCTAGCCAGAGACCTGGGTTCAAATCCTTGCTCTCCCACAGACTTTCCTGTGTGATCTTGGCCAAGTCACTTAGGCCCAGATTTAGGCTCCTAAATCAGTTAGGCATTGCTAAGCTGAAATATATCCTAGTGGCAGTGCTATGGATCCATTCACAGACCAGGTGTCGGTCTGTATCTCACAGGAGCCCATCCCTCGGTGTTAGCCAAAATGGAAGGGATTAAAAATGCAGCCAACATCCTTCAGGGAAAGCATATGAGCACATGAACTCAGAACTCCTGCGAACACTTCAAATTCGAGACAGCTTGAAAGGATTATAGAAAATCAGCATGACGTTGAATATGAGTCCTCCGTGAGAGCACTTGGAACAGCAGGATTTCCTTGCTCTGTCAGAATCCATACGGTATGTTGGTCCTCCCCACTGGATTGATTTGCAAGTTACTAATGGATTAAACATGGCACACACACACACACACACAAACACGTTGTATGAGTCCACATTTGTCATTGAGATGAGCCACCCTGCATGAATCTGTCATAAAGCTGTTTCTAAGTTGCTTACTTGAGCTCCATGGCACATCAGCTTCTACTTTCAAGACCTGAAGAAGAGCTTCTGTTTGTAGCTCAGAAGCTTGTCTCTCTCACCAACAGTAGCTGGTCCAATAAAAGATATCACTCCCCCCATCTTCTCTCTCTCTCTCTAATACCCTGGGGCCGACACAGCTACAGCAAACTGCAAAGATCTGTCAAGAGTGGCGCTTCAGAATGGCAAAAGAGATCTGGGATCAAATTGGAAATGGGCCCAATCCAGATTGTTCTGTTCCAGAGCCCAAGGTTCAAGGGTATTTGGCTCAAAAGTTCAGCTTCTGGCCCCTCTCTCTCGTTCGATAAAGAACATATCGACATGTATTTGACAACGGTGGCCTCAAGGGAATGAGGCTGACCATTTTCAAGATGACTTCCCAGAATCAGTGCTTGGCATGGTCTGAATTGCTGTATAGAATTAACGGTTAGTAGAACGGTAGAGCAGAGCTCCGGGGCATCACAATTCTGGGCTCCCATAAGGTCCCTGAAGTCACTGCACAAGTCAGCCCCCAAAATGAGCATCAGCTGTGTGCACCTCTGGCATCTCTTTCCAGTCTAAAGTGTAGATAGGCTAAATTAGCAGAGGACAAGATGGCCATTGGCTGTCGTTACGTTACAATAAGAGCAGCAGCCTGGAAACAGCTATCAGCCCTGCGTGCGGTGTCTCTGGATCTTCTTGTAGGTCTAAACATTCCAAATTCAGATGTTTAACATGGACCCTCTCACTGCGTCTTAATAAATCTTAGTGTAATTTGGCTGCACCCACAGGATGGAGCTGTGTTGCAATCAGACGACTCCTGAGACTCCTTATGAGCCTGATATTCCTGTACAGAGATGAGGTACCGAGAAGCTAAACAGGGAGAATGACAGCACCAGAAAGCTGACAAAAGAGTCTATTGAACAGATTTTGTCCCCTGCATTGCTGTGCAAAGAGCCAGCCACAAGTAGATGCCCAGGAGGTCTTGGCTTCGAGAAGAAACATGTGTTGTCTGCTGATAAATTAGGTGCAAGTTATTATGGTTGTGATGACTGTTCATGAGAGTGGAAGCAGCAAGGTCCCGATTCAGCAATGCATTTAACTTGATTCCTGTGGCAGTTCCATTGAGAAGTTTTAGTTAATTATCTTGCTGAACCCAAGAAAGGGGTTCCCTGGTGCATGAGGCAGGGGGTTCCAGAGGTGTCCACATTGAGCTTTTCCTGAAAATCTCCCACTGTCGTAGCACCCATGGAGCAGAAACAGGGCTAGGAACCATTGGGAGTGCTTGCACAGACCACGTGCCAGCATTTTTACCAGTGAGCTGCCTAGCCCTGATCTGAGCAGGGTGGTATAAATTCCCCTGTGAGCCTTAGCTAGCGCCGATGGAGACGCAGTGGTGCCACAGGGGGGTGGGAGGTTTCCAGAAGCTCCGTGTAGAGCCTTAATTGCTCAGGAGCAGGAGCTGAACTTTTCCAAGGTCTTGAGGGGCAGAATCAGGAAGCTAATGAATTTCTAAGGAAGAGACCATTTTTTTAAACAATCAAATATGAAGGAGGGGAAAAAATATGCAGCAAATGATACATGAGCAGAACTAATTTTGTATTTATGGTTACATTTTCAAACGAGAGAGGTACACAAGGATGTGTGCGACTGCACACCTAGGACATTCAGTGACTGCCATTGTGCATGCAAAATGGGCAAATGAAAGCACAAATAACCAGAATTGCATGTGAAGTTAGCCAATATGCACAGTACTTGAGCCGGGGCACTGTACTATGTTATGACAGCGGGGAATGTGTGCATGCTACACGTGCATTTGCACACCTAATTGGTTTGAAAATCAGGACCCTGGTTCCCTAAATGTTCAGTGAAGCAACAGCAGTTCTCTAGAGCATGTTGTGACCTTACTCGTGATCTAAGCTATAGGGTGGAAGCGAACTTCCTTTTTAGGGTCACATGTATCCAAATGAAAAAGAGGAAATTCGGGTAGCGCTAAACGAAACTCTGTCTAGCAGATGTACTTATCTGGTCCCCATTGCCATAGTATCTAAGCACCTATCTATCTTTAATGCATTTACACTTGCACAGCCCTGTGAGGTGGCAAAGTGATATTATTCCCATTTTGCAGATAGGGAACTGAGACACAGAGATACTAAGTGATTTGCGCAAGGTAAGGGACTTGAAGGGTGGGGCATGGATCAGTGTCCACATCCCACTCCCCATCAGTACCCAGTCTGGCCCACGGAAGCTAATCATCCAACCAGTGGACCAAATTTGGTGATGAATCCTGGTCACGTGCCACCTGAGGCACCTTGCACATATGCTGAGAAGGAGGAACTTGAAGCGGGATATCAGACTGGCACTTTAACCACAGCGTCACCCTTCCTCTCTCCAGTTTTGTCCAAAGTAATGCCATCATTTTTCCTCTGCATTGTTCTGGCCACCCTGAAATAACACTAGTGTCCCTGATCAAGCAAGACCATCTGATGTATGAACAAAACTCGCCGTGGCCAGTGAAACAATGGAGGAAGTTCAAAAGGAGAGTCATCCAGCAACATTCCTATTTCCTTCATTATACACCCTGCCTCACCTGTCTGGGCAGGAGAATCATCTCTGCTCCCATTTCAATAAAGAAGTCCCCACAACTTATGATTTGCAGAGAACCTCTGCTGAATCAGCAGGAAGAGAGTGATAGGGAAAAGATTCTGGCTAGCTTTAATGTGTTTGTCTATGGTCATATCACCCTAACTAGCCCTAATTTTGGAAGCTAATCAGGGTCAGGCCTGATTAGTACCTGGATAGGAGACTACCTGCTGGAATACCAGGTGCGACCATCTGCCGAGGCTCTCCAACTTCTTCAGTGTTACTTTGCTTAAACCATGTATAAGAATTTGAAAAGTTCAGACATTGCACAGAGTTACATTAGTTCCCAAGACACTTCATCATAGACCATTTACTCCCAGTTAGTTTTGACATACTATTATTTTCTCATGTGTAACACAATAACGCTTAAAAAGAAAAAGAGGACTTGTGGCACCTTAGAGACTAACACATTTATTAGAGCATAAGCTTTCGTGGGCTACAGCATCGGATGAAGTGAGCTGTAGCTCACGAAAGCTTATGCTCTAATAAATGTGTTAGTCGCTAAGGTGCCACAAGTCCTCCTTTTCTTTTTACAGATACAGGCTAACACGGCTGCTACTCTGAAACCATAATACTTTCCACTGATGTAGTATCTTTCTTATGAGAACCCAGTAATTAATAATAACAGTACCTACCTCTTATGTAGTGCTTTTCATCTGGAGAGCTCAAAGGCACTTTACAAAGGAGGGAAATATCATTATCTCCATTGTACAAATGCAGGAACGGAGGCACAAGGAAGTGAAGTGGCTTCCCCAAGGTTATCCAGGAGCAGAGCTAGGCAGAGAAGCCATGTCTCCATGTCTCAGTTCAGTGCTTAATCCACTAGACCATAAGCACTTTGCAAATACTAATTAAACCTCCCACTGCTGTATGAATGCAGTATAATCCCACCCATTTCATGGATGGGTAAATGGATGTAATTTGCCCAAGAACACAGCACGTAAGAGCCAGAACTGAGAACAGAACCAGGTTTTGACTCCACCTCCCTTGTTTTATTATTAAACCACATGGCCTCCTGGCTATTCAGTAACTGGAAAAAGTCAGCAGCCTATTGGTTGTTTTGCCCCTCATGGTAGTAAATAAGAGTGATCCAGTTAGAGACACCAGGGTCTGAGTAGAAGCACTGTGATGTATTTAAATGGAAGATTGCCCGTTAAAAGCAGTGCCTTATCCTCAACAAGCAAAATGTGATCGGGCTTGTCATTATTAGTTATTTCATTTAAGCAGACGGAGAAAGAGAGAAAACATGGCAGCTAAACACACAGTGAAAGTGTAATCGGCTTACTCATCTCTCGGTAACTTACAAACCATACGACATCTGTCTTTGAGATAGTATAACTCACTGCTAAAGGGCGGTATGTGTTATTTCAACTGGTAACAGCCCATAATTGCTTTAGTTACATGGAAAACTAGTGATACGATAGCATTTTTGCAATTCAGTCACACAGGAAGGTGACTAAACTTCCTTTCTGTTCCGAGCAGTCAGGATTTTGAAAGGAATATCCCAGTTTGCCAAGGGGTGGGTTCTCCCCACCCCTTCCAAAGAAGAAGCACTGCATCAGGCTGAAAAATTGTGGTTCAAAGCAGATACAGGTATCTTTCTGTCTGTAAAGGAGCGATTTTTCCTCTCTACTGCCTGAAAGAGTAATTGTTGCAAAACTGTATTTATAAATAAATTAGTCATGGATGTGAACATTGCTAAAACATGGTCTGTTATACTATATATACTTAGACACTTACATGGCCGCTGTCAGAGTCTTGGCTGAGTGAGCTCTGCTTTGTGTATGCTCACCAGGCAGCTGTGTTTCGACCCTCAAGCTGGATCCATGTGCTTCTAAGCTCCCTGGGTCTGTGCAGGCTCCAGACGCAGTCTCTGGTCTTGCAGATACACTTCCCAAGAACGGTGTGTTCGTCTGGTACCAATTCTAGGAAATAGGAGCCAGCAGCCCTGGGCCGCCAAGACATGTGCTGATTCCCCCTCCCCCCGACTCCCAGGTTGCTCAAGCACACCGTCCCAGGAGCTTCACCTTTGTGAGTACTCCAGTTTATAGTTTAACCCTTCAGGGCATGTGTGATAGTTGAAAAAAGTAACTCACAGACTTTGTAGAGGACTTTCTAAACCAATCACACTTTACTCATAGACAAAGCACAAGAAAGGCACAAATCTAGGCAAAATAACAAACACTTGTGTGCCATATTCTCCCTTAGAGTTCTCACCACTCTTGAGTGCTCTTTGGGTTTGGGACGGTGGCCTCAGGGTCTCAGGTCCCCCATTCTGCACCCCATTCCTCCATTTCAGTCTTCTCTTCCTGGTTATGGACTCTTCTCTCCTGCAACAATCTTCCCTCTGTTTGTTCAAGTCCAACAGTACAACGTTTCCCCCCCTTAGCGAGCATGTCCCTTCTTAACAGCAGCTTCTACCTTTTGTCTTTGTTCCTTCTTTTCTGATGGTGATTTTCCATTGCTCCAGTCCCACCCACTGCAGACAACCTGGGGACATCTTGTTTCCCCTAGATTGCAGCTTTCTTATTGTTCAGGTTAGGGACTCTTCATTGTTCCTGTCGCACCTCCCTAGCCCACATCTGCAAGGTACATGACACAAGCCCTGATAGCAAATGGCTGACTCGCTATACACTGAGGCATTCAAAGATACAGTAGTTGCATAAAATTAACCAGAATTCATAAGCTTTACATAAGCACGTTCCCCAAACCATCACATCTCCCATTATAATAGTATCAAAGCACCACACAGTCTGTAATGACAGGTTTCAGAGTAACAGCCGTGTTAGTCTGTATTCGCAAAAAGAAATGTAATGTCTGTAATGTATTTGTCCAGCCAGCACCTCTATGAAGTATTATCATCACCCCCATTTTACAGGTGGAGAACTGAGACACAGACCATAAGTGACTCACCTGAGGTCTCACAAGAGGTGTGTGGCAGAGCAGGGAATTAATCCTAGACTAGCACCCAACCACTGGAGCACCCTTCCTCCAAAAGTAGCTCTAGCTCAATGATTCGCAACTCGTGGGCTACTTGCAGCCCAATCAGCACACAGCTGTGGCCCACGTGACATCCTCAGGGCCATACAGATAGTATATCTATCATGCGGGTGCATCCCACATAACACATAGAGAGATGCATATGCGGCCCACAATGTTAAATAGGTTGAGAACCACTGTTCTAGATTAACAAAGGTATCAGGTGTCGCACGTTGAGCTTCCCCTTTTTCATCAGGACGGAGCCTACGACAATGAGTACCAAGAAGGAATGCAAGGGATTGTTGGGTAACATGGAGCCTTTCAACGGTTTCAGTTTGGTTTGATGCTCAGGTCAGTAGAGGCTGCAAGCCATCGCCATCTGATGCCCGATGTGGCTGGACGTACGACTGACCCCAAATCTGGCAATCAGACCTTGAGCATGTGAGCAACACATACTAGCTAAGTATGTAGCTGGGGCTTCACAGTACTACTGTCATATAAATAAGCACCCTTATATCTTTCAGGCAGATTTTTGCTTACTCTTCTCATTTTCAGATTAGATTATTTGACTCATCTTTGGTCTCTTCTCCTATGGAAAGACTTGTACTGCCTGACAGCTCTTTGGGCAGTCAGCACAGTGGGACAAAGGGCTCCCTTGTACCATTACAATGTACAGCCACGGTGCTTCTGTCTGCCTGGGTGAGAAACGGAGAGCCCCTGTGCTAGTCCCAAGAATTCCTGCAGGGACACTGCAGGAAGCATGCGAGGCAATGGTACACCTTCCATGGATTTTCAGTAGCCCCTATTGCTGTTTTAGCTAAGACCAACATTTCCAGACTCAAGTTTGGGCACCTAAATCCACATTTAGGTACCTAAATAAAGGGGGCTGATTTTCAGAGGTGCTGAGCTCTGGGAGGTCCCACTGAGCACCTCTAAAAATCAGGCCCCTTTTCTTAGGGTGGGGGATTTAGGTGCCTCATTGAGGCACCAACACTGGAAGAGTTTAGTCTATGCATATACAGAGATCTGAAACCCAGTTAGGCCCATCCATCACTACGGACCAATGAAATGAAGCCTTCTCCCAGTGGGAGCTAAAGTGAGCCATAACCTAAAGGATGCCATGGTCTCACCATAATATAGGTGTTATCTTCACCCCCCCCCCCCAGCCTTGTGTGTACAGCTAAAAATCTCCTGGCACAGGCCCATAGTTGGCATGGCAGACAAGAGATCTCAACCCATCATGCCAGAGCTTTGTCAGAGTATGGATATGGAAGAGACTCAAGATGATTAGCCAATGTATGGAATCCACATGTTAGGGGTCGTCCCATGCAGTCTTCCAACACTCTTAGTGCAGCCAGCACTCTTGTGCTGCTGGAGAAACCCATAGGGGAACCCTACAAATATCAGATCTTTCACACCAGACCAGATGCCACAGCGATGGGCATCCTATATGACTGAAGGGATGAGAAGAGTGCAACTGCCTGCTGTAATTCGTTCCTGGTGTTGGCATCAGTCAGTCGGAAGAGAAGAAGTTGACCCCAACACAGAGTGGAAAATAATAGAAAATCCTGTGTCAAAATGGAATGAGGGAGAAGAACTATTGTAAAACAAACAGGCATGCAAGCAAGAGCACCAGTCGCCAAAGGCCGCGTGATATGTCAGTTTGGCAGAACAGCGGTTCTGGAACAATAGCCCTGTGTATCAGAAACTGCTGATCTGTGCCCTGAAACTGAGGCATAACCTGTTACCCTAACTCATGGCATGTGACTGGGCCCAGGCAACAAAGATGGGCCTCGTCCCAGCACCCACGAGTTTCACCCCTTTAAATAACAAATAATAACAGTACACAAAGGGGAGGTTTTGTTTTCAAAGGTACAATTGGGCAGTACATGCCCAACTTCCTTTGATTTTCCATGTGAGGTGGGGGCCTTTGACAATCTCCCCCTAAAGTCCTAAGCAGAAGTGAATTTGGAAGGTTTCTCTCATTTGTAATAAATATAATCATAGTTACAATAAGCGGTGATGTTAGTGACATAAACTGCAACCACTGTTATATATTTGCCTCAAATGTTGTACATAGGGTGTCGTGTGAGGTGTCTATGGAAAGGTTATGATTTGCTGGTTATGATTATGCTATCTGTATGTGTGTATCATTTCTGTAGTTGAAGTTATGAATATTGGCTATGTACTTGTGTCTCAATGTGTTTGATTCTAAGAAGCATTAGTGAAGCATTTGGTCAGCTTCTCGAGAAAGGAATTTGCAGATTAAGTGCCCAATCAAGAAACACTTAACTGACAATGGACTTTGGGAGACTCCAACCCACATGAGAAATCTTCCTGGGAACGTTCAAGGTAGCATGTGAGCAATGGCTGCTCTCCCTGTAAAGAACGGAATCATGCATGCACATGTGACTTGCCCACGTGACTCCAAACTCCATCTTGCTGCTGTGATTTTCCACAGTAAGAACAAAGGGGCGTCCCTCCACATGGCAGAGAATATAAAAGGCCCCGGAAACCCCTCCATTTTGTCTTCAATCCTGCTTCTAACCTCTGGAGGAACTTTGCTACGCTGAAGCTCTGAACAAAGGACCGAATGACCCTTCAAGCTGTGGATGTACCCCAGAGACTTGATTTGAGCCTGCAGTTTATTCCTTTACTGCTACAAGCCTGAATCAAGAACTTTGCCATTACTGTATGTCATTGATTCCATTTAACCAGTTTTAGCTCTCATCTATATTTCTTCCTTTTTATGAATAAACCTTCAGATTTTAGATTCTAAAGGATTGGCAACAGCGTGATTTGTGGGTAAGATCTGACTTGTATATTGACCTGGGTCTGGGGCTTGGTACTTTCAGGAGAACCTTTTTTCTTTTACTGGGGTATTGGTTTTCATAACCAGTCGTCCGCATAAGAAGTGGCTGCTGGTGGTGATACTGGGAAACTGGAGTGTCTAAGGGAATTCCTTGTATGACTTCTGGTTAGCCAGTGGGGTAAAACTGAAATCCTCTCTGTTTGGCTGGTTTGGTGCCTTAATAGTAAAGGAACTCCAGCTTTGGGCTGTGACTGCCCTGCTCTAAGCAATTTGTCCTGAATTGATACTCTCAGTAGTGTCCCACCAAAGGCAGCATCGTTACATAAGCACTTACAAACATTATCTAATTAGTCCTTACTATGCCTCAGTGTGGCTGGGCAGAATTTTCCTACTCTTGGGTCCTCAACTTAAAAGTTTCTTGATCTGATTAAATATAGGCTATCCTAAAATAACAACCACTCAGCCACGAATGGAGGCTGATCTTCTGTTATATAAAGATGATGGCGGCATTGTTTTCTACCCCTCCATTTTCCTCATGACAGCAGCTTAACGTTTCAGGCATACAGAGCCAGATCCTCTGCTGCTCAGTGGAGCTATACCATTTTCTACCAGCTGAGGATATGGTCAACAATTTCTGGACAGGAAAAAATCTACATTTCAACCAACCTTTATCTCACCTTTTATCGCTGTTGTCCAAGGATTACTTTCCAGATGAAGAACTAACCTTTTGCCCCCCATTTACAAGTGTCTTCTATCAGACATGTGTTCTGCAGAAAGCCAGTGTAAAGCATCCTCCTTTTCTATCCGCAGCCATTTTACTATATCATCCAACTTCTTTAGCGGTTCAAATTCTTGCATTTCTTACCGCTATGGAACAGTGAGATATTTACCCGCCCTGAGGCTGTGTGACAATGAAAGAAGCAGCATTTTAAAAGATGACCGGATTGTTTACAAAGCCAACCATTAATGTCATCTTAATGGTTGATTGCTTATATGGCCATACCATTAGCTCAAGGTTAGTTGTTTTAAAAACAAACACCTTCTTCAGAATCATCTGTACTTTCCCCAGCACTAAATGAGCTAAGAGCAGGAAGCCTAAAGACTCCATGTGACTATGCACAGCTGGTTCTGTTCAGGTATAAACAGTATATCTCAAGAATGACATACCTGGTCA